GTGACATTTAGCTACCAGTTTTAGCTACTTTCAATTGAGTGCAGTTGGCAACACTGGGGGGAGGGCGTACATGAGATTAAAAGAAGTAGACCAGTGTTCTGATGATTTGTGCTACCCTGCCAGATTTTGCTACCTCCAATTGAAAGTAGGTTTCAACAAAAAATGCTACCCATCAGATTATGCTTTATTAATGCCTACACCTACCCCAAACCTAAACCTACCCTTACAGTAAAGCAAATACAGTAATTGTGTTGTTCAATGTGAGAAAATTTACGCAATATTGATGTGTGCATGCGCAGTTAGCCCTGGTAGGACAATCTGACGGGTAGGATGAAATGTCAGGACAGCAGTCACCGCAGAGTGCGTTTACTGATTCTGAAAGAGGTATTGCTGGATTCAGTTAGGTTTGCCACCCGTCCCTTAAAATACGGAATCGTCCGGTATTTAAAGTCCGCGTGAACTGGAAGTTGCTGCCGACTTTATTTCAGTGTAGTGACGTATTTCCAGCTGAAACGGAATATTGAATAGAGGGCATGGTTTTATGTTTGCGCTCCTCCTCTCTGTCTCTCACTCATAGCAATCTAACGGTTGGAGGGGTGTGTTTAAGGATATTCTGCCCAAGCCGTCAGACTGACGTCATCAGAAAAGGAATGCTATTCCAGAGCGGAAGTAAATGTTCAGATTTTGATTAAAGATTACGAAGACAAACAATTTTTTTCAGCGGATTAACTTGCACAGATTAATTGTTTACATCAAGACTAGCAATGTACGCTAGTAAAGTAAATAAAGTCAATTTTGATTTCATGCTGACTTTAAGGGTAAAATGGTGCGTCCCGTATCAAAACAATACGAGATGCGATTTGTCCCGTATTTTACAAAGGCCAATAAACAAATATGTATTTTGCACTGTTTATAATACTAATAGCAATTATAATGAAATATTTCATAAGAAGTATGCTATTAAGAGAAGATTTGTGCATTTTAACACTCCATCCCGGAGAAGCTGGACTACCTGTGCAACCTGATTGGGTGGCAGGTAGTGATGTGACGTTCGACACTGAGGCTTCGAAGCTTGTATCAAAAAAACGAAACATCTCACAGTGAAGTAGTGTTGGGTCGTTCTTGAACGATTCGTTCATTTTGAACGAATCTTTAATGTGCCTCGGGAAGAACGAGTCGTCTTGGGGAGTGATTCGTTCAGTCGCGCATGCGCAACATCATATAGGTTCTGTACTGGAATTAGTCAAGTAGTTCACCTGGTTCGAGTCTTCGGGTTTTTCCGAGTCGTTCGTTCATCACGTGACAGCCCCATAAGCTTTAACCAATGCAGTCTGAGCCGGAAAGAGAATTGATTAGTTAATCTCTCGAGTCTTCGGGTTTGAGTCATTCATTCATCACGTGACAGCCCCATAAGCCCAAACCCGAAGACTTGTCAGATAAGAGGTGAGGTGAGCTAATCATAGACTGAAGACCCAGGTAAACAATTAATTAATATTTTCTGTTTCTTATAGCAGTTTCGTATTGTTTGTAGTGTGATCAACGTTTGCGTAAGTAGTAGACGTAGCTATTAGGGAAGTAACACGTAACATTTTAATTATATTTTGCTAAAATGAACGAAATGACTCGAAAAAAGATTCGTTCATTTTGCTGAACGAGACTCAAAGGTCCGAGTCGGTAAAATGATCCGAACTTCCCATCACTACAGTGAAGCACTGTACTTGATCTGTGACGTCCGATGCTTCGTTTTCGCACACAACCACTGATTCAAATAACGCGAACCACTTGCGCAGTTTCAGGTGTCACTCACTTCTTTGAAAAGAATAAATCATAATACAAATAAATATTTGCATGTGTAGTTTTGTGCATGTTCATTTTGTATTAATTCCTGGTTCAGACACTTTAACTGACCATTCTATGATAATCTTCGGTTATTTTGATCATAGCCTATATATGCCTACAGCCTTGCCTATTTTCCGCAAATTTATTCACAGACTCATGTATTCATATTGTGTAATACAATGACTGACATGAAGACTTATTTATAAAGACTTCATATTTTCTTTGCTTTATACAGGTTTTCAAAGCACAAACTAATTTATTATCTGAAACCGTCCAAAAATGGCTGGGTCGTCTGGGACGCAAAGGCAGCTTTTTCCACATTTTGACCACAAGATGTCGTTAGTGTGCACCGTCTTGAAAAGCTTCGAGTAATGAACCTTTTTGCAATACAGTTGAGGGGAAAGCCTCGGTGCTTCGCAAAGCTTAATTTTTCCATCACTAGTTGCAGGTACTGCCCTATGCTACAAGCAGTGAGAAGGACCCTAACAAAACACAATTAGAGACAAATGAGTCAGGAATGAAAAGGAGAGAGCAATTGTCTATGGCCACCACCTGCGAAACCATTCCCTTTTGGGGGGGTTGTCTTCTTGTTGCCACTCCAGTGCACCTGTTATATTCATTTGCACCAAAGCAGGTGAAACTGATTAACAATCACTAATGCTTCGTAACTGGACAGAATGATATCCCTGATGTTTAATTGACTTGTTGATATACTGTGTTTCAAGTGTACCCTTATTTATTTAAGCAGTCTGGTAAGAATTTAATAAAAAGAGACTAGTATGAGTTACAGAGCTCAATGATTGTGTTTGTACTAGTAAGAATTCCAATTACAGAGCAAATGCATTCATACTATGTAATTGCAGAGTTCTACAATTTAATTATAGAACTCTGCAGTTACATACTTACTATTAAGAATTCCAATTAGAGAGCTCTGCAGTTAAATTCGTACTAGTAGTTCTCATTGGTTGAGTTCTCTAATTGAATTGTATCTTTCTAGTATATATTGTAATTCGAGTTCTATAATTGAATTTTTACTGGTAAGAATGCAATTACAAGAATTCTACATTCAAACATGCTTTTAAAATCATCATGAAATCAAAACTGACATTTCTTATTTCAAAATAACTTTGCCACCCTCCAACAATGACGTCTCTTCTCTGATGATATGTGTCTTGGTGTGAGGTTGGGACAGTAACCTCCAGCATCCTGTCACTCATTGCAGCAATAGCAAACGACAATAATCAGGGTTCCCACGCTTCTTGAATGTACTTGAAAGTACTTGAATTTCAGACATATGGATTCAAGGCCTGGAAAGTACTTGAAAACAAACATAGGTCCTTGAAAGTGCTTGAATTAAATTTGAAATAAATTTTGTTTATGGCGCTATTTAAAAAATTGTCCTATATGTTCTGTCAAAGACCGAACAAGCGGCACTAATGATTGGGGGTGATCTCCAGGGGGAGCGTGAAAAAAAAACACGTGTGTGTTGACGCGCAGCCTAGAGACCTGAGCGGGATAGTTTTCTTAAGCCCGCTCCCCCTGAATTTCTGACCATTACCGCCCACTCCCGCAACGTGTGTGTCACGCTCCCGCAAACATTCTTATTGTCTTATTGTATATATTGCATCAACGAAAATAGTTCCAAATATAGTAACAGCTGAGCCGCTGCGCATCTCTAAAAGCAAACACAG